CTAATAACTCATTTCATTCAAATCAACAAATATTGACATGTTCGAACAACTATGTCGAAGTGGTCTTCCTATTTTTATCTGTTTTTTGTCTTTCGATTCTCTCTCTTCTACAACAATATAATAGAATATATATATATATATATATATATATATATATATATAGATCAAAAAAGAAGAATAAAAAAATGATAAAAAAAAGAGGGACATTAATGGTAGGGCAAAAAAAATATCAAAAAATCTTTTGATTCTCCCTCTTCTGCAACAATACAAGTAGTTTTTTTTAGATTAAAATAATTTAAGTAACCAATATTTTAAAAAACTCAATCAGTTAATTATTTTTAAAAAATGCAACGACTTAATTATTTAACATAAAAAAAATAAACAACTTATTCAATCAAAAAAAGTTTAAGAACTTAATAATTCAAAATGAAATTATTCCTTTAATTTTCTGATTTTTTCTTTTATTTATATTTAACACAAGTAGTTTCTATAAACATCTCATCCTTTAAAATAATTAATTAATCATAAAAATTAACTTTTGAATTATACTAATACATATATGTAATACTATAAAGGTACTCGCGCAATGCAGCGAGATATATTTCAATTTTAATGTTTCGTTTTATTCCGTTTCTGTAGATGTTTTAATACGGTTTTATGTGGTTTTGAGAAAGAGATAATGTTTTTGTTTTTGAACAAAATATAAATTTGAAGATGTCATAAAATTTCGAAAATAAATATATCAATATTAGTATCAAACTAACTATTTAAAAGTTATTGTTTTTTGTGTAATTTCTTTAATGCAATTTTTTTATTATAATTTAATTTAGATTTAATAATGAAGTAATGTATTTTTGATTTAAGAATATAATTTTTTTATAAGAATTATAATCAAGTATTCTGTTAGACCTCAATGATTATTCTAATTAAATATTAGATTTTTTATATTTTTTAAAATTAAATATTTATTTTGTATTTGACTATATTTATCTGCAGTTAGTTACACGAATTCAAAATGAAAGTTTAAAGTTGTATTTACGTAAAGTTTATTTGTAATCTTGAATTTTAAGTAATATGTATCAATAAACAGTACTTCATGAATAAAAAATGATTTTTAAGAATTTTCTTTAAATGCTTTATAATATAATATAAATAATAGTAAATATATATGTAATGTATAAATAAAGAGAATAAAATCGATAATAATAATATAAATAAAAATTATTATATAATATATAAAAAATAATATGTAATATTTATGTATATAAAATAATAATAATAATAATAATTAATATAATATATTATTAAATCAATTTGATTTATAGATTTTAAAGAAAAATTATGGGGCAATCTTCTCTCCTTTTAGGATCCTCCTAACCGCCACTGACCCGAGGTTTACCGGTCAAATCTATTTTCACCAATTATAATCCTCCACGTCATCATAAAAAAACCATCCTTCCGGTTTCCACAAAGTTAAACCACTTTCTTCAATAATCAATAATTATTAAATACGCATTTACTACACGTTTCCCCCTAATATTTAACAAATATATCGGTAAACCGGTTCCCATTACCAAACCGGATAATTACAGACAACAAAAAAAACCGGTAAGTTGAAAAACAAACCGGTAGGCGGTTCAAAATTGAACACTCTTCAGAATCTCCCCCACTAAATCCACGTGGCAAAATGGAATAGTGGTGGCTCCCACTCTCCCACTCAAATAGCAATATATAAAGCCACCCCACCTCCATCTATATTCTCCAAACCTCCTCCTCCCACCTCCTTATTCCACCGCCACCGCCACCGCCACCGCCACCGGCCACCGCATAGAAATGGGTACCGGAGAATACGAGTATTCTAAACTGAACTACGAGCAGAAAGCACACAAGGTCGCCATTCCGCCGCCGCAACCGTTCATAAAATCGTTAAAGAACACCGTCAAAGAAACATTCTTCCCCGACGACCCACTACGGCAATTCAAAAACCAGTCCCCGTGCCGGAAACTCGTACTCGGGGTTCAATACGTCTTCCCCATTTTCGAATGGGGGTCTCGTTACAATTTAAGTTTCTTTAAATCCGACGTGATCGCCGGAATCACCATAGCCAGTTTAGCCATTCCTCAAGGAATCAGCTACGCCAAGCTAGCTAACCTCCCACCGATTCTCGGCCTCTGTAAGCTCTTCGCTCCTTTTCTGGCCTCATTCGTCGCCATTTTCATGGCGGTCCTCCGCTCACAAGTCCGTCTATTAGCATGTTAAATCAAGATTTGTGAACCCATGTCAGGAAATACCTATTTCATTTTTTTTCAAAATCAAAAACTGTTATTTAATTACAGAATTTTTCGATATTTTCTCTCGTTTCATACAATATTACTACTAAATAGAAGACTTTTTTGCCTTTCCTCGGAGGTCCGTCACTAAAGGAATGATTCGTCAAAAACAGTCGCTAAAGTTGGTGGGTAATTCAAATTAGTGTCAGATTATCCACGTATTTTTAGATGCTTTGTTTGAAAAACATCAATTCCATCGGTAAGAGTGATCCGTCCGTAATTTTCTTGGGTGATTTTTATGGGTAAAAATCAATTATATAGTTTTCGGTATGCATGTAACTGGGCCTCTAAAAAGATTGAAACGACCCTGGGTCCTCTCTGACGTCATTAACCGAAACTTATCTTCTTTTTTTCGATCGAAAACTTTACAGACTCGAGCTTCATTCCGCCGCTAGTTTACGCAATGATGGGAAGTTCAAAAGATTTAGCCGTCGGTACAGTGGCAGTAGCATCGCTGCTAACGGGTTCGATGTTAGGTGCAGTGGTGAACGCCAACGAAAACCCGACGGTGTACCTTCACTTAGCTTTCATGGCGACGTTCTTCGCCGGAGTTCTTCAAGCGTCATTAGGAATTTTAAGGTTTAATTAACACAAATTAACCCCATTTCAGCACAAACACAAAAAAAAACTCCAAATTCAAGAAAACTCATAACTGATGATTAAACCCATGCAGGTTAGGGTTTATCGTTGATTTCTTATCACATGCGACGATCGTAGGGTTTATGGGGGGAGCTGCGACGGTGGTTTGTTTACAGCAGTTGAAAGGGATATTGGGTCTTGAACATTTCACTCATGGCACTGATCTTGTTTCAGTTCTGCGATCTGTTTTCACTCAAACTCATCAGGTTATAATTAATTGGTTTAATTAATAAATGAATGGTTTTTGATGAATAAAAAGAAGTGAATAATTGAAATTAATTAGTATATAAATGTGATGATTGCAGTGGAGGTGGGAGAGTGCAGTTCTGGGCATTTGCTTCCTCTTCTATCTATTGGTTGCCAGATATATTGTAAGGATACTCTCTCTCTCTCTTTCTCTTTCTCTGTGTATATATATATATATATGTATGTATATATCATATAATTATATAGGAAGGGTCAAAATAGGAAATTAAAAAAATGGTCGATTTTTTCATGTGATTTTATATAAGATTATGGAATACGGTTAACACATGGGTGAGCGGAAGATCTCCCACACGGCTTTTGGTGATGTCTAAAGTTCCGTGAATCACATGTGATTTTTGTGTAAAATTATATCTAACTATTTTCGTATTATTACTATTATCGAATGAACCTGACTGTATATATATATATATATATATATATGTGTGTGTGTGTGTGTGTGTGTGTGTATGTATATATATAGACTTGGGATCATATGAGACCAAACTGTTTTCGTGAGATCGGTAAAACAATCTTTTTACACTTGAAACTTTACAGTAAAATACTATGAAAATAACCTTCACAGTATTTTTGATTTGAAAGTTCGGAATTTTTTTTACCTTCATCATGTTCTAGTGTGAAGTTTCAAGTGTAAAAAGATGGTCTCATAAAAATAGGTTGGTCTCACATGATATATATATATATATATATAGAGAGAGAGAGAGAGAGAGAGAGAGAGACTTATATGTTTTTTTAAGATCAGTGAGACAATAAAATAACCTTGGAATTTCATAGCAAAACATTTTGAAGATAAAAAAAACTTCAACCCTACCCAACAAGCACTATGAAGACTTAATTTCATAATATTTTGTCGTGAAGGTTCAACATTATTTAAATGATTTCACGAGTTTCATGAAAACAGTTTGGTTTCATATGATTCCAAGTATTTATATATACATCATGTAAGTTTTAATTAAAAGTTCTGAAATAATTATGAAAAATAATAATAAGTTTGATTTAGGTTCCTGACACGTTTGTACGAAATGATTGAACCATAGAAATATATATATAGACGTAAATGGTACAACTACTGATTTAAGAATAAATTGATATGACCAGAGTACAAAAAGACCGAAGCTATTTTGGATATCGGCAATGGCTCCATTGACGTCGGTGATCTTAGGTAGCCTTCTTGTTTATCTCACTCATGCCGAGAAACACGGTGTTCAAGTGGTTAGTTGCTCTCTTTCACTCTATCAATTACAAATTTACAACAAACTTACAGTTGAATCGTTATCACACGATCAGTTTTATAGAAAATTAGAGATACGATCGAATAATTCTGTATTTTACGTGGAAACAGATCGGCGAATTGAAAAAAGGGTTAAATCCAATCACAATAATGGACTTGTCTTTTGGATCTCAATACTTATCTACGGCTATCAAGACTGGAATCGTCACGGGTGTCATTGCCCTTGCTGTAAGTCACTTGTACCTTGTGCTTTACCACTTGTACCTTCACTTATATTTTTCTTCCCACTTGCATACATTTCCAAGATTTCACAAACGTACAAATATAAATGCTTTGGGTCACGGGAATACTGTCTTATCAAAGTTTGAAAAATCGGTACAAAGTTATGTTTTAAAGCATGATTAAGAATAACTCAGTACAACGTGTTTTATTATAAGGGGTAAATATGTCATTTTTGTTTCGAACTACAACAAGATTGAGTTTACTGAATAACCACTTTCTATATCGTTAAATCACTACCAAACAACCATATATAGCTATTCGAATAAGTTGTGAGTCTCATTAAGCTGTTGTAATAAGTTTATAGAAGGCTTTCAAGTGTCTTAATAAACTTTTTAAGGATCTTTTTGAAGCAAAATATTTTATTAGCTCTGTTATATGACATTTTTAAAAAATCCTATAAGTATATCTTTTTGTAGGACACTTTTTATAAGACATTTTTTTTTTCTTCAAATAATGTCATATACAATGAGTAATGTGATTGATTGTTTAAAAATGTTTTAAAAAGCTTATTAAGATGTCTAAAAACGTCATATAAACTTATTACAACACTTTTAGATATGACATACAAGTGTCTGGTCTGACAAAGTAGCCTATTAGGATACTGGATATTTTTGATGTGCTATAAACCTGATTTTGTTGTTAAGTAATTTTCAAATTTTTTTTGCAAAACCCCAACAGAACAATAATTTTTCATTTGTTATATATTTTTATAAGCCATTTTCAACTTTCTTTGACGACTTAATAGAGTAGCGAGTCTTAGAGGCTGTTTACCAAACACTTACCCGGTAAACACTTAACGGTAAAATTTAATACTATCATTTACTTACCGAGTAAGATTTTAGTCCATCAAAACGACATCGTATGCAACAATTTACCCTGTAAGCACTTACCGTAGTAAGAGTCGCCGCTCTCACTTATTGGGTAAGACTCTTGGTCTTTGTCTTGTACTTACCGGGTAAGATTATTGGTTTTTGCCATATTTATCCGGTAAGGTAATGTGATTCTGATAAGCGCTTACCCGAATAAGCATTTGATAAACGGCCCCTTTTACAGTGATGGTTACAATAAGTTGTTAATGTAACTTCCATACAGGAAGGAATTGCTGTGGGAAGAAGCTTTGCCATGTTCAAGAACTACAACATTGATGGTAACAAAGAGATGATTGCCTTTGGCATGATGAACATTGCTGGTTCTTGCACTTCTTGCTACCTCACCACTGGTGTGTGAAATTACCTTTTTACCCTTTTAGATATTTTCATCGATTTGTCGAAATTCTCGATACATAAACTCGATTTCCATTTTATTTTTAGGGCCATTTTCACGTTCGGCTGTGAACTTCAACGCTGGGTGCAAGACAGCCGTGTCGAACATTGTAATGGCAATTGCAGTCATGATCACGTTGTTGTTCCTAACCCCATTGTTTCACTATACGCCTCTTGTCGTTTTGTCTTCGATCATCATCTCCGCAATGCTCGGTCTTATTAACTACGAGGAAGCGATTCACCTATGGAGTCTCGACAAATTTGATTTCGTTGTGTGCATGAGCGCGTACCTCGGTGTCGTCTTTGGGAGTGTTGAAATTGGGCTAGTCATCGCGGTATGGTACTCAATTATATTGGTTTACTCTCCATCCGTCCCAAAAATAAATGTCCACAATGAAAAAGTCACAGTTTTAAAAATGTGTAATAATTTGCTACAACAAAATTGATTTTATAGAACGCCTAAAATGTAGAAGCGTCCTAAAAAATAATTTACATGACTTAAGTTAATATGACCAAACCAAAAAATGTCATATCTAAAAGTGTTGCAATAGGTTTATATGACGCTTTTAGGCGTTTTAACAAGTTTTTATGGCGCTTTTAAAATAAAGTATCGTATTAACTACTTCATACGACATTATTTGGAGAAAAGTGTCTTATAAAAAATGGGTTTATAAGACGCTTCTCAGAAGTATCCTATAAAATAACTAATATAACATTTTATTTTAAAAACGTCCAAAAAAACTTGTTAAAGCGCCTAAAGCGTTTTATAAACTTATTGTAACGCTCTAATATAATACGTTTTATAGTTTAGTCTTATAAACCTAAGTTATATAAAGTATTTTATTGACATGCTTAGACAATCTAGGCGTCCTTTAAAACCAAGTTTGTTGTACTGATTACACTTTTTAATTGATTAAAAGACAATTTTACCCTTAATAAAGAGAATTTAGTTGCATCTCGTAATTAAGCGTAAAATGAGAAAGTAGACGCTTACTTTTGAAAATGCATATTTATTTTGGAACGAACTAAATAAAAAATGTTTACACTTATTTTGAGACGGAGGGGTTTAATAAATTTTGTTGCGTTTTCTGTGTTATAACTTGGTTAAAATGGGGGCGAATGTAGGTTGCATTGTCGTTGCTTAGGGTACTTCTGTTCGTTGCGAGGCCAAAAACCGTAGCACTAGGTCACATACCCGACTCGACGATCTATAGAAGCATGGATCAATACCAAAACGCGAAAACCGTTCCTGGGATATTGATACTTCAAATCGACGCACCTATTTACTTCGCCAACTCTAGCTACTTGAGGGAAAGGTATAGTTATTCAATTTAACAAGTTTTAAGCGGTAAAAAAAAATCTTTTTGAACGATCTTTTAAATCTAATTCTTCGTTGTTTGTTAGAATTGCGAGATGGATTGATGACGAGGAAGACCGATTGAAGTCTACGGGGGAGAACAATTTGCAATACGTCATACTTGCATTGAGTGGTAAGTGATCAATGATTGAACAACAAAATGTAGTGTGGAAACCACAAAAAAATGAAAAAGCTGAGGAACACCCTGATAACTGTTTGTCTTGATGGTATATATATGTGCATATAAGTAATTTGCAAGAAAATTTTCCGGTATACACATGTGCATAACACGTACACATGCATAAAAACCAAAAAACAACCTTAATTACTTGTATGCACATGTACTTACTGAACGGAATGTATATGTGCATACAAGTAATTTGCAAGAAATTTATCCTGTATACACATGTGCATAAAAACCAAAAAACAATTTCAATTACTTCTATGCACATGTACATACCTTCCAGATGAATGGTTATCAGGATGTTCATCAGTTTTTCATTGTTTTTGAGGTTTATTCCTGGACCTCCCCATCTTTCTCTCTGTGTGTGTGTATATATATATATATATATATATATATGTTTTTTAGAGCCAAAAAGAACGGAAACATAACGTTTTGGTGGTTGCAGCGGTCGGAAATATTGATACGAGTGGGATTACGATGCTTGGAGAGGTTAAGAAGGTTATGGAAAGAAGAGGACTCAAGGTACCTATCATATGTTTATGTTTATTCTTTAATTCTGAGCGATGCATGTCTGAATCTTGATTTGTTAATTACTTACGACATTTCGTTGCAGTTGGTGTTGGCGAATCCGGGAGGAGAGGTGATCAAGAAGTTGAACAAAGGGAAATTGATAGAGGTTATAGGACAAGAATGGATATATTTAACAGTGGGAGAGGCGGTCGGAGCGTGCAATTTCATGCTTCATACATACAAGAATGACGAAAAGCTAACTTCGACTGGATCGTCATCAGGAAAAGAGACATGGAATGACAATAACGTTTAACTCAATGTCGTTAGTTGACCATTTGATAGCATTTGTCGTCAAATGCATATTTATAATCATAAATAATTATGTATATTGATTAGCCTTTTTTTGTCGAGTTTTTTCTTCTTTCTTTTCATATATAAAACGTTCCTGTAGAGTTAGAATCAGTGAACGGAAACCGATAATAAGGATAAATTTATGAAACGGAACTAAGAGCTTTGTTTTAAGGTTTAGTGTCTCAACTAACTAAGCCATGGATGTTTGATTTCAACTTAATAGGCTTAATGAGTAGTTGGCTTAAATGATTAAGCTATATTATAATGTTTGATTTTAACTTAATACAATTGGCTTTAACTAGTAAGGACCTGTTTGTAACCAGTTTTATTAGCTTAATGAGACTCACAATTTATTCAGTTAACTATAGATGATTGTTTAGTAATGACTTAATATATTAAAAAAAGAGCTTATTCAATAACTTTCTACAATTGAATCGGTTGATTTTCTGCACACCCCTACCTGTGCCTGTGCTGGGGCTTGCTCGGCCCGTGCATTTTTTAGCCGAGATTCGAAATTAGAATTTTTTTTTTATATTCTATCTCTAGCCAAAATGATATACGACCAAATGAAGTTATCCTATCAACATCTTTTTTTGTCCATTTTATTTGAGTTACTGTGAAAATGGCCAAAAACTATTTTATCAGCTAGCTTATAACTATCTACACAGACTTTTTCAATAAACTCAAAAAATAAACTAGTTTATGGTGGTCAAATATGGTTTTATAGAGACGAAAATAGAAACACCAAGATGAAACATAATTCAATAAAAACCGATATTTTTATGAAACTATAGGGATGAAAAATGTAATTTACTCAAAAATAGAATAAATACATTTAAGAATAAATTATGTTTTCACCCTATGGTTTGTTAAAAGTTGTTATTTTGGTCCTTGTATTTTTGAGATTATAATTTTTATTTTTAATGATTTATAATTTATTGTTATTTTTTTTTATGATTTATAATTTATTTTATATTTAAATATAGAAGTTAGCATGAAAACCGTAATATCAAAATCATAGGAACAAAAAACATAATATCAAAACTACAGGGACGAAAAACGTAATATAAAAACAACATAGACTAAAACCGTAATATAGAAACTACAGGGACTAAAATCATAGTATCAAAACCACAGGGACAAAAAAGTAATTTTAACAAACCATAGGGACAAAACTAGCATTTTTAACAAACCATAGGGACGAAATTAGCAATTTTAACAGACCATAGGGATAAAAAACGTAATTTACTCTATTTATGAAAACCGAAGTGGGTCGGGTGTATTGAAGCTTCTTGAACTTCATAACTTCAAACGAAGTTCAAGCGGTGGCGGTGTTCCTGCTATTCTTTCGCACTGCAATTTGGTGAAATTTCGATCATTGTAACAACGAGATTCAATCCCTAAATGGCTCCGAAGAAATCGAAGCATGAATTTGCACCAAAGAAGATCAAGTTGAAGAAGGATTCGAAGATGAAGTTGAAGAAGAAGAAGAAAACATCTTCGAGTTCAAATGCTGTAGCAGCAGCTGGTGGTAGCGAGAACAGAGGCGTCGATTCCGACTGGTGGAATTCCTTCTGGGAAAAAAATTCCCCAATTTCGGGTACTTTTTTTTTTATTATTATTATCAAATTTGGCTTCATTTTCCATGGAATCTTAAGAGAAGAGCCGATTGTTTCTATTTGTGAATGTGAAATCGGTGCTTAACATTCTGAGATTGAATCATATGCGAATTGAGCTTTGTAATTCTGCACATTGTTTTGATACATTTCAAATTTAGGGTTCGTTATGCTCGATTTCTAAAATTGGAGCTTACGATTTGTGATTTCTCTATGTACGAGTGGAATGTGCTTATCGACAATCTGCTAGGGTTTGATCACTGTGGTCTTTCTATGATCTGAACAGGAGGGACTAAGATTTCTGTTTTGTGATGCCTATGCATATTTTTGGGGTTTTCTAGAGCAAATGTTATGCAACAAAATCGGCTCCATAGGACGCCAAATATGTATTAATGTACCAATAGACAGCTTTATAAGACGCCAAATATGTCTGAATGTCCTAATAGTCGGCTTTAAAGTGTGCCAAATATGTCTAAAGTGCCCTAATATACGGCTTTATAGCATGCAAAATATGTTTAAATGTCCTAATATATGGCTTTATTGGACGTCAAATATGAATAAATGTCGTAATATACGACTTTATAGGATGCAAAATATGTGTAAATGTTCTAATACACGGCTTTATAGGACGACAAATATGTATAAATGTCTTAGTGTACGGCTTCATAGGATGCAAAATATGTCTAAATGTCATAATATAGGGCTTTAAAGGACAAAAATATGTCTAACTGTCCTAATATATGGCTTTATAGGACGCCAAATATGTATAAATCTCCTAATATACGGCTTTTATAGGATGCAAAATATGTCTAAATGTCCCGATATACCGCTTTATAGGATGCAAAATATATCTAAATGTCCAAATATATGGCTTTATAGTACGCCAAATATGTCTAAATGTCCTAATATACGGCTTTATTGGATGTCAAATATGTCTAAGTGTCCAAATAAACGGCTGAATAGGATGTCAAATATGTCTAAATGTCCTAATATACAACTTTGTATGACTTAAATACATAGAACCAAACAATTGTGTTTCCTATGGAATTCCTACGTAAAGATAGTTGCAATAAGTTTATAAGACATTTTTGGGCGTCCTAATAGGTTTTTTACAATTATGAAGTAAAACGTCTTATAAAATCAAGTGTTATGTACAAAATGTGTTCATAATAGACTTCTCAATAATGTTATATAAAAAAGCTAATAAAAGTGTCCTAAAAAACTTGTTAGAATGTCCAAATACGTCCTATCATGCTAATATGACATCTTTTTATAGAACATATAGTTGTTTAGTCATATAAGCTTAAGTCCTATAAAGCAGTCTATTAGGAGTTTAGGACATTTAGACATTTTTTGGCGTCTTACAATGCCGATTTTGTGGTAGTGCTAATTCATCTCCGGTTTGTAGTGATTCTATTTCGAAGATTGGTAACCAGTTTACCAAAATCTAGCTGCCAATCAGTTCATCGGACTTCAAGTTGTGTATGAACTCGTACTTGCAGGTTCAATGGTGCCCCAAGACGAAGAAGAAGGATTCAAGTACTTTTTTCGGGTGTCGAAGAAGACATTTGAGTACATTTGTTCTCTTGTAAGAGAGGATCTCATTTCACGGCCTCCATCCGGTCTCATTAACATCGAGGGAAGGCTTCTTAGTGTCGAGAAACAAGTTGCGATCGCCTTAAGAAGATTAGCATCGGGTGAATCTCAAGTTTCCGTGGGTGCGTCTTTTGGAGTTGGGCAATCAACAGTTTCTCAGGTGAGTTTCATTCTTGAAGTATCGATACTATATTATAAAGCATTTAGGTAAAAGTCTTAAAAACAACTTAATAAGTATTATGTATGTACTGCTTAGGGCCTGTTTTTTAGCTGCTTAATGGAACTCGCAGCTTATTCGGTTAGCTATACATGACTGTTTGGTAGTGCTTAATGATATAAAAAGAAGTGGCTTATTTAGTAAACTTCTAGGGGGAGGTTTTTTTCCAGACATGTCCCTCCCAATTAAAAAACACGCTCCTTTCTTCTATGAAACAACCCTTCTAAACAAAATCTTTCCCAATGTATACCCACAACACAAACAACTTTATCCATACAGCCATACAAGACTTAATAGAAAACCAACCAAACATTCACACCTTAGTAATGGATAATCGCTTAAATTTCAAGTTTACAAGTAATTTCGACATATGTAATACTTTTTAAAGCACTTCGAACTTTATTAAACTAACTGATAACCAGTTGATAAACACGTCCAAATACAGTATAATCATTGAGGCATCACAAAATGTTTCATCGCTATCTTTATACAAAAAAAATGCTTCATCACTAAAACTAAGATAAATTACGTCCTCATTTTTAAATCTAATATTTAAAATTACAATTAAAAAATAGGGGTTCTTTTACCGGGTCTTCAAATTAGCAAACGCGTACAACCACCACTCGTAAAATTTATTTTATTCAAACATAAATTTCGAATTTTATTCTTTGATAAGAAATTGCATTAATTTTCCATTATCTGCTTACATTAAAATATTGCATCATGTTGCATTGCATCCGTACACAACTGGTGAGGTTAAGGGGAAAACCCTAAAAAAATGAAAAAGTAAGGAACACCCTTGTAACCATGCATCTGAACGGTATACACATGTGCATACAAATAATTAAAGTTGTTTCTTGGTTTTTATGCACGTGTGCATGTTATGCACATGTGCATACCGGAGAAATTGTGCGTAATGTCCAGATGAACGGTTACTACGGTGTCTCTTAGTTTTTCATTTTTTTGTTGTTTTCCCCTAAACCTGACCCCATATATATACATACAATCATACATACATATATATATATATATATATATATATAATAATCGTAAAATTCACACACACTCCTCACAGTTGGTGATGCTTGACCTGGATTGAGGTTGGGATCTACCTATAGCCAAATACCGCTAGACCAATGATCATTTGGTACTTCTCAGGTGACTTGGAGGTTCATAGAAGCAATGGAGGAGCGTGGCAAGCACCATCTCAAGTGGCCAGAAGACGATAACTTACAGAAAATAAAATCCGAATTTGAATCGTCGTTTAACTTGCCCAATTGCTGTGGAGCCATCGATGCAACCCACATAGTCATGACCCTACCCGCGGTTCAAACCTCAGATGATTGGTGCGACCAAATCCGAAACTACAGCATGTTGGTCCAAGCCATCGTCGATCACAAATCAAGATTTCTTGATTTGGTGACGGGGTGGCCCGGAGGCATGACCATCCCAAAACTCCTAAAATTTTCCGGATTCTACAAACTTTGTGAATCGGGTGAGCGTCTAAACGGAAACCCACGATCAATTTCCGACGGATCTGAGATCAGAGAATTCATCGTGGGCGGATCCAACTACCCGCTTCTTCCATGGCTAATAACGCCTTATAACGAAAACGAGGATGAGATGTCGGGTTTCAATAGGGTTCATGAATCCACAAGATCGGTTGCGGTGAGGGCGTTTTCGCAATTAAAGGGAAGTTGGAGGATTCTTAATAAGGTGATGTGGAGGCCTGACAAGAAGAAACTTCCAAGTATCATTGTGGTATGTTGTCTTCTGCATAATATTATTATAGATTGTGGAGATTATATAAAACCAGAGGTTTCTTTATCATGTCATCATGATTTAGGGTATGTTGAACGATGGTGTAAGCAGGTTGAGCCTTTAGGCAGAAAGATGAGACAAAACTTGGCTAGTTATTTGGAGAATAGCAACTAAAAATCATGTGTCGTTAGTTTGTAATGAAATATGGATCATGGAGGTTTGTCTGTGCCGGACTCCGGGTTATTTGTGGTCGTTTGGTCGGTGTGCGTAAGCTATTCGGAAACACATGGTTACCAAAAGAAAAGAGTTGGGGAATTTAGAGCAAGTAGCTAGGACGGATTCGATTTTCTTGTGAAGCGGTGACACCATTTGACTATAAGAAACAGATATCGAGATATTTTTTATAAAATCATTATTGGTTTGTTGGTTAGTTCATTGTTTTTCATATGTGAGGCCTTTTTATTGCAAATTTTATATAATATAACTTATCATTTATTATTATTTTCATAATACTGCTATTTTTATGTCTAAGTGAATAAATCATTGACATTATTATTATTTATGTACCACGCATTATATTGTAATATGATAAAAGGGGGTGTTTGGTTAGAGATGTTAAATAATAAAATGTGTTTTAGATATGGCAACTTTTTTCATGCATGTCACTTGAATTTGATATAAAATCAGTACCAATAGGAAAAAAATGATATCAGTTATTTGGTCAGCTCTACATGATTGTTTGGTAGTGACTTAATGATATAGAAAGTGACTTATTCAGTATGTTTATGGGGGAGAGCTTTATGCAGAGAGCTTAGTTTTTTTTTTTTTTTTTTCCAAACTTGTCTCTCCCAATTAAAAAACACGCTCATTCTGTCTATGAAAAACGCTATCAGATAAAAATCTTCCTAATTTATACATATATTAATGCACACATACAATTTTATTCATACATAACTTAATAAAGATAAAATTTATACAGATATTAATTCCTAATTTATTCTGTCTAAAGTTACATGGTGGCAATTTTGTGATTATTGAGAAGTTTCGTCGCAATTTTGTGATTATGAATGTTCAGATTGTAGATCTAACCAAATGGTTGAAAATTGGTCTTACGGGTCTCGCGAAAAACCATTGGTCTCACATGATCTCAAGTGTATATATATATATATATATATATATATATATATATATATATAAGCTTAATCAAATGAGAACTGAATTGTTTGTGGTAACTGTGAGAACCAATCTCAACCACATATTATAATAATCAATGGGTAAGATTAAAAAGAATCTTAATTAATGTATTTCTATAAATAAATTACTGTCATTTAATGACATTATATGAACAAAGGCAAGATGGTCATTTTGTACGTTAATATTCTTGTTCAATTGGAATCCAAATATACTTTCCTGTATTTGAGACGGAGACGATTGCCTTAAGCCCTAGAGTAATCTCAATTTGGCTAAAACTCTTAAAAACTCTTAAACCCGTTCATCCCTATCCGATTCCATC